ACGTAATTTCGATTAACGAACTGCCTTCCATAAGGATCTTCAATTCGGTTAACGAAAAAAAATTCGCTTAACGAACTTCTTACGAACCGACCTCAACATGTTTTCGCTTGCACTGACCGGGCAACCAGCTTTAGTATCAGTCCGCCAATACATTAATCGGTTCTAGGGCTTAAATTCCTTACTATTTTTGTAAATATCAAGAAGTTTATACTATTCAATAATTTTAAAAGTTTAATATTCAATTTTTTAGTCATTTTAACAATTATTGAACAAAATTGAAGGTAAAGTGACTAGTTTAATGCGCGGCATCCAGCCTCTTTACACAGCAAAGAGGCGTCAGTCTCTCTCTGTTTTCACTGGAGGTAACATCTTGCTTGAGACTCTCTTCAACTAAACGCTTTTTTTCTGCGTTTCCAAGCAAATTATTGGTCATTTTGAAATATATTCTACATATTGACAATATATAATGCAGTGCAGTGTTGATTTAAAGAAAATAACCTTGAATTACACCAAGAGAGCTAAAATTTTATGGGTGAAATGGCGCCATGGGGTGACTTCTCTTCCACCCCAATGCCTTCTCTTCTTCCTTCTCCTCCACCCCCATTCTAAATCCCATCATCATCATCCAGGAGCCTTCTACATACACACCTCAAAGTAAGTGAACTTTTCTACCATTTTTGTTGAATTTAGGAAATTTTCGGTGAGCTGGAACCACTACCCAAAACCCATTGAAACAATGGTTTCGTTAACGCTTCGTTAACGCAACGACCTTCTGGAACGATTGAGTTCGCAAAGGCCACTGTGATATATATATATATATATATATATATATATATATATATATATATATATATATATATATATATATATATATATATATATATATATATATATATATATATATATATATATATATATATATATATATATATATATATATATATAGATATATATATAGATATATATATATATATATATATATATATATATATATATATATATATATATATATATATATATATATATATATATATATATATATATATATATATATATATATATATATATATATATATTACCCCGCTTTACACGGTTTCACTTTCCGCAGTGCATCTACTCATATACACAGTGAAGTATAATTATTATTATTTTTTTTTAGCTCATAAAATTCATACAAATTACCCGGCCAGAATATAATTTACATTGCTGGAATTCTTACAATATGATGATTATTTTGAGTGTAAACATCATGGATTTTGCATTAGACATACAAATTTTAGATCTAATGTAATAATTTGGTTTACACTAAGCAAATATTTTATCCTTTGTGCAGAATGAAGTTTACATTGAAAATATTCCCTGACCTGCAAGGAATCCAGAAATGTCAATTATATTATCCTAACTTTAGTCTGAGTTATTATTTATTACTAAAAATGGAAATATACTATTTTCTCCCAATCGCTTCTCTGGTATGGAGGGAGGGAGGGACCGACCTAGCTAGGGCGGAGTATTTTGATGGACAGATAGTGTCCTTGAAGAATATTTCTTTTTTTATTTACTGAAGATATATGTTTTAGCTCATAAAATTCATACAAATTACCCGGCCAGAATATAATTTACATTGCTGGAATTCTTACAATATGATGATAATTTTGAATATAAACATCATGGATTTTGCATTAGACATATAAATTTTAGATCTTAAGTAATAATTTGGTTTACACAAAGCAAATATTTTATCTTTTGTGCAAAATATATGAAGTGTATATTCAAAATATTCCTGGTCTTGCAAGGAATCCAGCAATATCAATTACAGTTGTACCCCACTTAACGCGGTCAATTGAACCCAGAGGGTCCCGTGTTAAGTGAAATCCGAGTTAAGTGAACAACAGAACATATGGGATTAATTCCAATAGAAACCGGCCTGACCCCCAAACTCCACTTTTTGAAGGCACATACCTATGTTGTAGTAAAAATAACATCTTAATTTTATGATGGTACATGCACACAATTAATACTTAAGAGAAATACAGTCGCCAAGTTAATGTCCATTCAAATAATGGACTCAACTCCCTCCCTCTCTCACACTACACTCACTGGCTCTTCCCTCTCAGAGAAATTTTTGGGGGAAACCACAAAATTTTAATAAATAATACCTCAAACTAAAGTTAGGATAATACAATTGACATTGCTGGATTCCTTGTAAGACCAGGAATATTTTGAATATAAATGTCATATATTTTGCACAAAAGATAACATAGTTACCTAGAGAAAAATTTTTATCTAAAATTTGTATGTTTAATGAAAAATATATGATGTTTATATTCAAAATGATCACCAAATTATAAGAATTCCAGCAATGTAAATTATATTCTGACCGGGTAATTTGTATGAATTTTATGAGCTAAAACAAATATCTTCAGTTAATAAAAAAAAAAAAATCTTCACAACACTATCTGTCAATCAAAGTACCCCACCTTGCCTCCCCCCCTCTTCCAACCGCGCGGTCAGTCCCAACCCTCCCCCCCACCCCCCACCAATCCTCCCTTCCAGGGTTTTTAACATTTAGTATTAAATAATACCTCAGATTAAAGTTTGGATAATATAATTGACATTGCTGGATTCCTTGTAAGACCAGGAATATTTTGAATATAAATGTCATATATTTTGCACAAAAGATAACATAGTTAATTTGAGAAAAATTTTTATCTAAAATTTGTATGTCTAATGCAAAAATATGATGTTTATATTCAAAATGATCAGCAAATTATAAGAATTCCAGCAATGTAAATTATATTCAGGCCGGATAATTTGTATGAATTTTATGAGCTAAAACAAATATCTTCAGTTAATAAAAAAAAAAATAATTCTCCACAGGGTAACAGATGGTCGGTCGGTCCCTCCCTCCCCCCCACCCCCCCACCCCCCCACCAACCGTCCCAAGGAGATGTGTGGGATAACCACTAAATTTTAATAAATAATACCTCAAACTAAAGTTAGGATAATATAATTGACATTGCTGGATTCCTTGTAAGACCAGGAATATTTTGAATATAAATGTCATATATTTTGCACAAAAGATAACATAGTTAATTTGAGAAAAATTTTTATCTAAAATTTGTATGTCTAATGCAAAAATATGATGTTTATATTCAAAATGATCACCAAATTATAAGAATTCCAGCAATGTAAATTATATTCTGGCCGGGTAATTTGTATGAATTTTATGAGCTAAAACAGGCAGTCAGGCAGGGTGGGGCAAATCTAAAAATAGCGTCTTGAGCCGGACACTCACCGCGTATATGTGGAAAAAATCCGTGTTAAGTGAAAGTTCAGCTCTGGCGAGGCACCGCGTATATGATAAAACGCGTTAAGTGAAACCGCGTTAGGCGGGGTAATACTGTATATTATCCTAACTTTAGTCTGAGGTATTATTTATTACTAAAAACGTAAATATACTGTTATAACCCAATCATTTCTCTGATAGGGAGGGATGGTGGGGGTGAGGGGTAGGGAGGGAGGGAGGGACCCAGGGAGCAGGTGGGAAGAGGGGGGGAGGTGGGGTATTTTGATTGACAGATAGTATTTCGGTAAGTATATTTTGTTTATTTATTGAAGATATTTGTTTTAGCTCATAAAATTCATACAAATTACCGGGCCAGAATATAATTTACATTGCTGGAATTCTTGCAATTTGATGATCATTTTGAATCTAAACATCATAGATTTTGCATTAGACATACAAATTTTAGATCTACTTTAAGTATTTTGTTTACTCTGAGTAAATATGTTTTCTTTTGTGCAAAATATATGACATTTATATTCAAAATATTCCTGGTCTTACAAGGAATCCAGCAATGTCAATTATATTATCCTAACTTTAGTCTGAGGTATTATTTATTACTAAAAAGGTAAATATTCTGGTTTCTCCCACACATTTCTCTGGTAGGGAGGGTTGTTGGGGGGTGGGGTGGAGGGAGGGACCGACCGACCGACCATCTGGGGCGGTTGGAAGAGGGGGGGAGGCATGGTGGGGCACTTTGATTGACCGATAGTGTCATATGAATATATTTTTTTTTTATTAACTGAAGATATTTGTTTTTGCTCATAAAATTCATACATATTACCCGGCCAGAATATAATTTACATTGCTGGAATTCTTACAATTTGATGATCATTTTGAATATAAACATCATAGGTTTTGCATTAGACATACAAATTTTAGATCTACTTTAAGTATTTTGTTTACTCTGAGTAAATATGTTATCTTTTGTGCAAAATATATGACATTTATATTCAAAATATTCCTGGTCTTACAAGGAATCCTGCAATGTCAATTATATTATCCTAACTTTAGTTTGAGGTATTATTTATTACTATACCTTAAAATCTAGTGGTTTTTCCCCCAAACATTTCTCAGAGAGGGAAGAGCCAGGAGTGTGAGAAGAGGGGGTGGGAGTTGAGTCTTTTATTTGAATGGACATTAACTTGGCAACTGTATTTCTCTATTTCTCTTTAGTATTAATTGTGTGCATGTACCATCATAAAATTAAGATGTTATTTTTACTAGAACATAGGTATTGTGTCGGAAAAAGTGGAGTTTGGGGGTCAGCCGGTCTCTATTTCATTTAATCCCATATGTTATGTTGTTCACTTTACGAGTTTCTCGCTTTACGCGGGCCTCTGTGGGTTCAATTGACCGCGTAAAGTGAGGGTTCACTGCATATATATATATATATATATATATATATATTTTTTTTTTATTATTATTTATTAGTGTGTGTGTGTGTGTATGTGTGTGTACAAAAAATCAGCCCCATTACCCCCAAAATTTCTATGCAGGAACACATCCCTCTTTGTTCTTAGGGGATAAGTACAGTATTTTATAAGTCATCTGTACAATACTCATGCTTATGGATATTTCAGTAATTTTGGGGGGAAATCAGGTTAATTTATACAGGGTACAGTACGGTATTTTTATTTGCTTTATCATTTGACAGATGTTGCTGATAGCAGCTTGGATGCTAGGTGGTCTCATGCATAAGTCTGTGGCAGAAGTGATAATTATTTCAACACTCAGCAATAAAACTCGTATTGTTGTTGGGGATCTTCCTGCTTTGTTTGGACCACCTATTCCTCGTGCAGGCTTCACGGTAAGCTTTGGACTCGGTCGTCTCTGTTCTCTGAATGCCAGTAATTTTATATAATTAAGAGCATGGTTGTGGTTGTGTCAATTTTAAAGGTGCTGTATATACCATATTTTCTCTTACACCTGCTTAATATAATGTTGCTCTGTATCACAATTGTCTTGTATTATTGTTATTTCTTGTCACTCAGTAAGGCTTCTTAAGTGTTGATCCAAGCTTTGGCAATAAATCCAACACCTACTTTGCAACCATGTCACTTAAGAACTTTGTTGTTGATACACATAATAATAGTGGATCAGTTAGCTATGATCATACCATGGAAGGACTTAAAGGACATTATGGCATTGACTCCGTTAATATTATTTTGCATATAATATTTGCATGTTGGCACACCAAACACCAGGTGGACTGTTAACATATATACTGTAGTCGTGTCGCATCATACGCGCATTTAACTTACATGCATTCAATTTTACGTGCTTAGCTTTGGGGGAAAAACAAGACAGTGAGTGTACGAGCATATGGCTGGGGGAGATAACGACATACAAGATGCACGGCCATATAAGACACACCTATTTCAGCAGGGAGTATTTGGGGAGGGGGGGGAGGGGGTGTATTTTCCTCCTGTAGCCATAGTTTTCTTAAAATAAGTTATACAGTGCCAATAAATATGGGAAATAGATAAAAATAATACCATTAAATAAGTTACAAAAATTATGTACTGTATTACTAAACAAGTTAATAAAAGCCAAATGAAAGTTTAGCACAATTGCCATTTGCATACACTCCCTGCTTCGCCACAGCAATGCAGACCAGCAGGAACGCTACCTCCGCTGTCTCCCTATAAACACTGCACCCTCTTCCTCTCCCTCATTGACCCAGCTAACTCTGTGCAAAGAAATGTATATTCCCTTTATGTGTTTGCCCTTATGACAATTATTTATTTTACTTTTTTCACTATGTATGTAGGATGGTGTGTGCATGTAATTGAGTACAGTGGTCCCTCGGTTAACGAGCGCCTCGGTTAACGAGATTTCGGTCAACGAGTTACCTTCCATAAGATTCTTAACTTCGGTTAACGAGCAATCCCTCGATTAATGAGTTTCTTACGAGCCAACCTGAACATGATTTCGCTTGCATTTGGCGGTCCACCAGCTGTAGTATTAGTCCGCCAATACAGTAATCGGTTCTAGGGCTTAAATTCCTTACCATTTTACCAAATATCAAGAAGTTTATACTATTCAATAATTTTAAAAGTTTAATATTAAATTTTTTACTCATTTTAACAATTATTGAACATAATTGAAGGTAATGAAACTAGTTTTATGCGTGCCATCCAGCCTCTCAACACACCATACAGGTGTCAGTCTTTGTATCTTTTCAGTGGAGGTAACATCTTCCTTGAGACTCTCTTCAACTAAATTCTTTTTTTCTGTTTTTGCAAGCAAATTATTGGTCATTTTGAAATTTATTTTACATATTGACAATATAATATGCAGTGCAGTGTTGATTTAAAAAAAATAATCTTGAATTGCACCAAGAGAACTAAAATTTTATGGGTGAAATGGCACCATGGGGTGACTTCTCTTCCACCCCAATGCCTTCTCTTCTCCCTTCTCCACCCCCATTCTAATTCCCATCATCATCATCATCCAGGAGCCTTCTACATACACACCTCAAAGTAAGTGTACTTTTCTACCTTTTTTGTTGAATTTAGGCAATTTTCGGTGAGCTGGAACCAATTACCCAAAAACCCATTGAAACAATGGTTTCGGTTAACAAGTTTTTCGGTTAACGAGTTTTTCGGTTAACGAGCAACCTTCTAGAACGGATTGTGCTCGTTAACCGAGGGACCACTGTAAATAAAAATGAAGAAAGTTATGTATATCTACCCAAAAAAGCAAGTTGATAAACAACCATAACTCATCACAGCTTGGGCCTGATGGTTACAGTGATGAGTCTAACTTGGCTACAATGCCGCCAATGATGTTAACAGACACAAATGTGAAAAGAAGGTTACTGTATCTGTAAAGATTAATTTATATCAGGTACAGTACAGTATAGTCTGGATTTACGCGGTCAATTGAACCCGTGGAAGTCCGCGTAAAACGAGAAATGCGTAAATGAAATAACAGTACATATGGGATTAATTGAAATAGAGACTGGGCCGACCCCCAAACTCCACTTTTTGCCGACACAATACGTACGTTGTAGTAAAAATAGTATCTTAACTTTATGATGGTATGCACACACACATAATATCTAAATAAAAAACTACACTACTGTACAAATGAAGGTGTTTAATACTTACGTTAGAAGAAGAGATGTGTCGGCATACTGTACGTGGATGGCGGCTGGTTCCGAGGCAGAGGGCAGATTAGTGGCCCTCAGGTGGATCACTGTCACTATCCACCACAGTTGTCAGGGCCTCCCTGACAATTCCCTCAAAGTCCATGTCATCACTGTCACTCTCACTGACTTGGGCTGGCTGTGGTGGGTTGCGGGCGAAGAAGTCCGTGATGTTACACTGACGGCTAGTGTTGATGTTTTCGTGGTAAATCTGGATGTACAGCTCCATAGTTTGTAACAGATGGTTGTTGAAGACTTCATAGCGTTGATTGTCAGGGTCGTTGGAAAAGACGAGCTTGAGCTTCTCTGCAAACTCGATGGCATCCTTAGCATTACCATGTGTTAACTTGTGTTCTTCTCGGGCTGCCGCACCACCTGCCTCCACACTGACGTCATCGTCTTCCAACATCTCGTCGACTGTCACCTCAGGATCCTTGATCACCTCCATAATATCTTCGTTGGTGGTCTCAGAAAAGCCTGCAGCTGTAAAACACTGTGCAGCTTCTCTTGCCAGGTCCACTGCCACTGCAACAGACTGAACCTCACCAGTCACAGGTTGCCTCTGCCTCCCACCTGGGATATCTTGCAACACATGCCGCCACGTGTGACGAATCGTTGCCACAGACAGCTGCTCCCATGTCTAGCATCTCCAGCACAAAATCCTTCATTTTCTCGACCCCTGGAGAATCCTCGTGTCTCCTTTCATAGTCATATGCTCTATCCTCGTATCGCTCCGTGAGCTTTCCCGTGAATCTCTTAGCCGAAGTATTCGGTGATTCGTACGTGTCAATTTCGTGCAGTTTTTCCCAGTACCTTTTAAGTTGTTTACGCAATTTCCCAGATCGTCCGCGAGCTCCTGAAGTCCTTTAATGTCATTGTTCTCACGGCTGGGCCACATAGGACCTTGCCTATTAGTTCTTGGATGTAGGCTTGCTTGTTGCCATGACGCTCTTCTAGGAAGGCTAGAGCTTGTTCGTATCCTGCCCTGGGGATTTCTTAGCGCGGCCGGTGTAGGCTGAGAGAAGTGTTTCCAATTTCAGTGCATAGGGTATGGGCTCCTTCCCAATCTGTTTTTGGAAGGCAGGCTTGAACTCCCAATAATCGTCACAAGTCCCTCCGCTGAACCTCGGTATTGTGTCCGATTGCCTCCCTTCCATCCGTCCTGGGCATTCTCGCTGTATATCTTGTACAGTCGACCCTCGTTAATTCGGACCCCCCTTAAATCCGGATTGCGGATAATTCGGACAAAATCTGAACCTTTTTTTTTTTTTTTTTAGATTTGTAGGAATATTACCTATGCGGACCTTAAGCTAAAATGCTGGTCCACCCACTGCTGGGATAAAACACCAGCGTCTTTTTGGTTAAATGTAACATCTCCACCACTAGTGTGGGGGGGGGGGATGCAACTTTTAGCTTCAGACATGAAAAATATTTACCATTTACTGCCAGTAAACAATGGAAACGTAAAATATGTACCAATTAGTAATGAAAAGTTGTGCAGTTCCTTCAGCAAATGAAGCTCACCAACTTACAAAAGGCTAAATTACCTTACAACGTGTTTTCAGTAGTCTATGTTGAAGTTCTTAGCACAGGCTAACTTATCATATCATAAACGGTATCACAGTTCTCATTGATCTACAAAAAATATCGGAAATAAAAACTTTTTCGATATTTCACACTTAATATAATACCCGGTAATCTACTTCAACCTCCTATTGTTTACAACGACGCATGACGCACCACCAGCTGTTGAGTATCAGCTAGACGGTACACGTGTTTTTCGAATCGTTTTCTGTTAAAAAACTGTGACATCACATTTATATTTTACCTAAACTGCGCCTGAATGAATATATTCTCGGAAATAAATAGTAGTTTTGCTGAAACGTGATGTATTTCAATGTAAAATAGGATAAAATACATGACGAAAACAAAAGACTTTACCTAAGCTTCCGATGTTCTTGAGATGTTATTCGTTTTCTTAATAGTTTTCGGTTAAAATACTGTTATATTACAATGATATTCTATTCATACTGTGCTTGATATACCGTATATACTCGTGTACAGTTCGAGTTTTTAAGACCAAATTTTTAGGCAAAAAATTGGGGGTCGTCCTATACATGCGTAATAGTTTTGTTAGGTTGAACCCGTGCATGATGGGAAGGGCGAGGAGCAACTTTTAGCTTCAGACATGAAAAATATTTACCATTTACTGCCAGTAAACAATGGAAACGTAAAATATGTACCAATTAGTAATGAAAAGTTGTGCAGTTCCTTCAGTAAATGAAGCTCGCCAACTTACAAAAGGCTAAATTACCTTACAACGTGTTTTCAGTAGTCTATGTTGAAGTTCTTAGCACAGGCTAACTTATCATATCATATACGGTATCACAGTTCTCATTGATCTACAAAAAATACCGGTATTAAAAACCTTTTCGATATTTCACACTTAATATAATACCCGGTAATCTACTTCAACCTCCTATTGTTTACAACGACGCATGACGCATCACGCACCACCAGCTGTATCAGCTAGACGGTACACGTGTTTTTCGAATCGTTTTCAGTTAAAAAACTGTTACATCACATGTATATTTTACCTTAATTGTGCCTGAATGAATATATTCTCGGAAATAAATAGTAGTTTTGCTGAAACGTGA